GCTCCTCGTCCTCCTCCTCCTCCTCCTCCTCCTCCTTCCCCTTCCACATCCTCCTCCTGCTCCTGCTCCTGCTCCTGCTCCTGCTCCTGCTCCTGCTCCTGCTCCTGCTCCTGCTCCTGCTCCTCCTGCTGGGTTCCTGCTGCTTCTCCTCCTCCTCCTCCTGCTCCTTCTCCTCGTCCCTTCTCCTCCGTGTCCTCCTCGTCCTCCTTCTCCTCCTCCTCCTCCTTCTCCTCCTCCTCCTCATCCTTTCTGAAGGGTTGTCGCTCTGTGGAGCGCCAACGGCAGCTCAGCGCCCCACCGACTCCCTCTCCGCCTCCTCCTCCTCCTCCTCCTCGTCCTCCTCCTGCTTTCTCATCCCTTTCTTCTCATCCCCTTCCTCCTTACCCCTCCTTCTCCTCCTCCTCCTTTCTCCTCCTCCTTCCTTCCTCTCCTTCTCTCCTATCACTTCCACCCCTCCCTCTTGTCTCCCACCTCCTTCCTTCCTTCCTGCTCCTTCTTTGCGTCTCCTGCTCCTTGCTTGCCCCACTCCTTCTTCTACTCCCTCCTTCTCGTCCTTCTCCTCCTCCTCATCCTCCTCCTCCTCTTCATCATCCTCCTCCTCCTCCTCCTCCTCCTCCTCCTCCTCCTCCTCCCCCCTTCCTCCTTTGCTGTTTCTCAGTGGCGCGGGCTCATCCTCCTTCTCCTCCTGCTCTTCCTCCTCCTCTTTCTCTTTCCCCGTCTGAGGTTGGGAAGAGGGAAGCATACCGATACCATTGCCCTTCCCTCGCGGCCTCGGCTGGATTCGTTTTGAAGTTCTTCAGGCATCGCGTCTCCCCACCAGTCCATTCGAAAACAACCCATGAGAGTTGACCGGAAACGGGACGAACAGACACATGTAGTGAAACAAAGCGGGCAACCAGGATGAGCAGAGAGATCTCTGGGAGCACGGGGGTGGCCTTGGAGGGCCTCTTCGGGCCATCGCTGGGGCCCGCGTGGGGGCGAGGGAAGGAGTAGGAGGAGGCGGATGAGAGGGCCGATTTCGACCATGACGACAGCGACGATGGGGAAAAGGGAGAAGGATTACCCCAGTGCGACCCTACCGACCCTACCTAGAAGTTGGAGCCCCTAGGAAAGCAGCATTCGTTGCTATGCTATGCTATGCTATGCTATGCCATGCCATGCTATGCTGCGCTATGCTATGCTATGCTGTGCTATGCTATGCTATGCTATGCTATGCTATGCTGCGCCATGCTATGCTATGATATGCTATGCGATGCTAAGCTAAGCTATGTTATGTCATGCTGCGCTATGCTATGCTATGCTATGCTATGCTATGCTGCGCTATGCTATGCTATGCTGGGCTATGCTATGATATGCTGTGCTGCGCTATGCTGTGCTACGCTATGCAATGCTGTGCTCTGCTATGCTAAAGCTCAGCGAAGCTAAGATGAAGGTAAGCTAAGCTAATATACACCTGAGCTAAGATGAAGCTAAGCTGAGCTAAGATGAAATCAGCTAAGATAAGATGAGATAAGCAACGCTAAGCTAAGAGGACGTAGCTGGGGGAACCGCGGGGCGGATCCTGGGGGAACCGCCCGGGGCGATTTCCACTGCCCGGCCCCTTTAAGCCCAGAGGGTAAGAACCCTTCTAGGCAGAGCCTAGGTAGGGAAAAAGGAAGACGTTGAGGGCAAGGACGAGGACGAGGTGGAAGAGAAGGAGGAGGAGGAGGAGGAGGAGGCGGAGGAGGAGGAGGAGGAGGAGGAGGAGAGGAGGATGAGGAGGACAACTCGATGACAGAGCCCTCAACATCACCTTTGAGAGTAGTATTGGGACTCTTTGGGGGAATCTTGGGGTCCTCGTGGGGCTCTTTTCGAAAGTCTTGGGGCCATCTTGGGGCCCGCTTGGGGCCCTATTGGGGCTCCCTTGGGAGCCTTGAAGGGTCTCTTGGGGCCATCTTGGAGGCCGTCGATCAAAGAGGGGGATCCGATTTTCGTTCCCCCGCACTCCTGGGGCCATCAATATCGTCTCTTGGGGTCCTCTTGGGGCGCTCTTTGGGCGCTCTTGGGCCGCTCTTGGGGCCGTGTGGGGGGCCCGCTTGGCCCCTTCTTGTAATTCTCCTTGGCCATCTAGGGGCCATCTTAATGCCCCAAGAGCACATCGGAAGCGAAAAGGCGATAAGTCAAACATCATTGAATTTTAGATCGGAGGTTGGGGGGTGAGATCGAAGTGGAACGGAGAGCCCCCCACCGGGAAATCGGTTTCGGTTTCGTGTTCGTGCGTGCCGTGCGTGCGGGCGAGGCGAAGCTGCGTGGGCGGGCGAGAGGAAAGTCTCCTGTGGCTGAAGCGCGGCTGGACCAAATGATTCTCCCTCCGGCAAGCGGTGGCGCGCGGTGTCCCGCCAGTGTCCCGCCGGTGTCTCGCTTGTGGCTGGGCCCCGGCCGGACCAAATGATTCTCCCTCCGGCAAGCGGTGGCGCGCGGTGTCCCGCCTGTGTCCCGCCGGTGTCCCGCTGGTGTCTCGGTGTCCCGCTGGTGCGAAAACGATAGTGAGGCCGATGACGAAATCGATTATGAGATCGATAGTGAGATCGATAGTGAGACCGATAGTGAGATCGATCGTGAGATCTACAGTGAGATCGATAGTGAGATGAATAGTGATATCGATTGTGAGATCGAGTGATATCGATAGGGAGATCGTTAGTGGGATCGATAGCGAGATCCAGAGTGAGATCGACAGTGAAATTGATCGAATGAGATCGATTTCACCACTGTTGCCCATTGCTGGCCCCCCTCCCCCCCCAACCTCCTTATCACCCGCAGGGTGGTCGTGTAGGTATGTTTGTGAATGATTTTGGCCTCTTCGGAGGGGTCCTGTGGGCGCTCCGAGAGCACTTGGGACCGTCTTGTGGCCCTCACTGGGCCTCTTGGAGGTACGTCGGGAGTTATATTGAAACATCGTATGCTTTCTTGAGTCATCTTGGAGGCCATCTTGGAGCACTGGACGCCCTTTTGGAGCCATCTTGGGCCATGTGTGCCCTCACACTTCGCGGCCCATCCTCCAAAAACCGCAGGGATGGGGAGGGGGAGTGTACCCCTCTCCGAAGGAGAGAGGGTTTGTGGAAGAGGAAAGAACTCGTCAGACCACCTTCGCCCAAAGGGCTTGTGGGATTCTGGGCAGAACCCACCCCTAGAGAGATCCGGAGAAGAGTAGCGGTATCGGTACCTTTCTGCACCCCCAGGCGATGATGATGATGTGGAGGAGGATGAGGATGAGAAACAGCCTGTAGTCGGAGGGGCGGCAGGATCGTGAAAGGCCTGGACGGTTTTAGTTTTTATTCTTCCTCCTCCTCCTCTTCCTCCTCCTCCTCCTCATGGTGAGTTCTTCCTCCTCTCTCTCCTTCTCTTCCTCCTCCTCCTCCTCGTTGTCCTCCTTCCCCTCCTGCGCTTTCTCTTCCTTCTCTTCCTCCTTCTCCTCTTCCATTTCCTCGTCATCCTCCTCATCCTCTATTTTTCTTTTCACGAGAACCTGTGAAACCATGTTTTTCTGGTTTGTCAGGTTCCCGAGGTGAGAAATCCTTGAAACATATTTGTTGTTCTTGCTTTTTGACTTGTATCCGAGCCCGAAATCTCAGAAAAAGCCAGGAAGCCATGTTTCGTTTACAGGTGTTGGCTGCACGGGTGTCAAAAAACATGTGCCACATAGGTGTTTGGTTTTTATTCGTATTCTGGTTTTGAAGGTTCGAGCATCTGGTAAAAAAGCAGTGCTTTCTGGTTGTTCTGTTTTTTGGGGGGCCATGGCCGCCGATTGGCTTCCCGAGGCAGTAGCTCAAAACGCAGAGACACCAGGCACACATGCTTTTTTAAGAAGGTTTCCGAATCTTCGGGGCCAGAAGCAACTAGACACACCCGTTTTCATTTTTATTGAGATTCTTGCAGCGAAAACCTGTTGACACAAAACTGGTTGTTTACATGTTTTTCCTTTTCTCCTTCCAACGAAGACATGTACAACGTGCTTCTTTCTTTTCTGAGGTTTAGTCTTGGGAAGCCAATCGGCAGTTTAGTTCCCAGAACCGGAAACACCAGACAAGCACATGTTTTTTTAACAAGTGTACCAGGAACACGTGTTTTTGTTCTATAGGTCTTCTCAACCAGGAGAGAAAGGAGGCGGAGGCGGAAGCTGGGAAGGGGGAGGGGGCGGAGGAGGAGGAGCGCGCGCTCTTGAAAGAAACAAAACGTCCGAGGCCTGCGGGGCGAAAGCCCAGATCGCCGGCGATTCGATTTTTGTTTGAGCCGGCGGCCCTTAGCCCGAGCCCTCGACCCCCTATGGCGTTTCACCTTGCCCGTCTTCTTTTCTCGAGGGCACCCGAAAGCCGCCGAAACGAAGACGCTGCCGCCGCCGCCGCTGCCGCCGCCGCCGCCGTCGTCGTCGTCGAAGTCGTCGTCGTCGTCGTCGTCGTCGTCGTTGTCGTCGTCGGTGGTATAGGAGGAATGGGAGGAGCAGGAGGAGCAGGAGGAGTAGGAGGAGGAGGTGGAGGAGGAGGGGGAGGAGTAATAGTAATAATAGTCATCAGACGAAGCAGAATCATAGTAATGCTAAGAAGAATACGGCAAACAATAATATTAGTACGACTAGGGCGAAGAACAACAACATTAGTAATACTAGTCACATAATAAATTCATCAAAAAATACGAATCGCAATGAAAACAAGACGACTAGCAATACTATCGGTAACCATAATAAGAATACGAGTACTACTAAGAAGACGAATGAGAATCCAACTAATATTGTAATTCGTAAGAATAGGAGGAGGAGGAGCCTTTAGGCGCAAGTTGTTCGCTTGCAGGCTCAAGTCGGCTATCTTTGCTTTTTCTCAGGCCGCACAAACGCAGCGATCATTCGACTAATGTCCGAGCAACGTCCGAAACGAGGAATCGTCGCCGGAGGAGCCGGCGTCGTCGTCGGGGTCGGCGTCGTTGTCAGCGTCGTTGTCGTCGGTGTCGGAGGCGTCGCCGCCGTCGTCAGGCGCCCGGCGACGGGGCGCCCTGCGTTCGCTGCTCGGGCCACGTCCGGCGCTACCAGAGGGTCCTGGAGCTGGAGGACCTCCTCCCCCCGATCCTGTTCCCGTCCTCAGAGACCTTCGACTCCTTTGTAAAGGGCTCTCGCGTAAGTTTAGGTTTTGTGTTGACCAGCGGTCGAAACTCACTAGAATAGAGCTCACCAGCATCCGGCTAAGAAGTCAGTGATGGTTTTCCTTGCGCAGGGCGTGTTCGGGCAACTTGGACGCGCCTGTCTATCCTCCTCCTCTTCCTCATCCTCCTCCGCCTCGCTGAAGGGCTGTCGCTCTGTGGAGCGCTACCGACAGCTCAGCGCCTCACCGACTGCCTCTCCCCCTCCCGCTGCTCCTCCTCCTCCTCCTCCTCCTCCTCCTCCTCCTCTTCCGTCTCCTCCTCCTCTTCCTCCGCCTCGTCCTTCTCCTCCTTCCCTTGGCCTGGGCCTGGGGGCGCCCGAGTAGATCCCCACCCCCGCCGCGCAAGGGCTCTGGTCCCAGGTCCTGCGTCGGCCACGGCCGCGCTGCCCGAAGGAGGCGGGGGGAGGACGAGGACGAGGACGAGGGGGAGGAGGAGGAGGAGGAGGAGGATGAGGAGGAGGAGGAGGAGGAGGAGGAGGAGAAGGAGGAGGAGGAGGAGGAGGAGGAGGAGAAGGAGGAGGAGGAGGAGGAGGAAGAGGAGGAGGAGGAGGAGGAGGAGGAGGAGGAAGAGGAAGAGTCTATTCGTGGCTCGCGGCCGCGTTTTTTTTTTTTTTTTTTTTTTTTCGTTTTTTTCTTTTCGCGGCGCGCTCAGGCCCGCGCTGCCGCCGAGAGCCCGATCTGTTCAGGACGTCCCCCCCCCCCCCCCCCCAGAAGCCCTTGCGAGGCTCGTCATGCCTCGCATCTCAATGCCGTGGGTAGGCGGTGTCTCCCTCTTCCTCTCTTCCCTCCCGCTTCCTCGAATGCGTGTGCACGTGCATGCGTGGTCGCCACGACGTCGCGTCATACAGTCTGTGCGCAGCGGCAGGCTGTTCATGGGCGTCCGCCGGATTCGTCTTCCCCGGTCTACTTCTACTTCGGCGTGGCCGAGCGAAAGTTCCTGAAGTTTCTGGGGCGTGATTTGGAGGGCTTCACCCGAGGGGGAGGAGGGGCAGGAGGGGGAGGAGGGGGAGGAGCATCCGATCGAGGGTCGAGGCTCGACGATCCAGGAGGAGACGAATCGATTGTGGGGCGCCCGCGCAGAGGACGAGGAGGGCGTCGGCGCCCTGTCGCTGCGCAGCCTGCGGGCCGCGCTGGCCGACATTTCGGTCGGCGAGGGCGCCCCCGGCGGCCCTGGCGCGCTGCTCCTGGAGCAGGGCCCGGACCCGGGCGTGGCGGCGGCGCACCCGCAGCTGGCGGCGCGGCTCGCGTCGCTGGAGGTCACGGCCACGGCCACGGCCACGGCCACGGCCACGGCCACGTCACGGCGGCACGGCCACAGCAACGGCCACGGCGTCACGGCACGGCGTCACGGCACGGCCGCGGCCACGGCACGGCGTCCCGAGACCTCCTCCTCGAGGATCGAGGATCGAGGGGTGATCGAGGATCGAGGGTCGAGGAGTCGGTCGACGGTGAGCCGATGATCGAGGCTCGATCGAGGTTCGCTCAGGGTTCGACTGTTCGATTCATCAAGGATCGGGGCTCGTGGAGGGAAGGGAAGGGCGCCCCCTCCTGCCCCCCCCGCTCCCCGCTCGGCACGTCAGCACGGATGCGCGAGACGCTCCCGGGGTCCCAGGCCTCCCGCGGCAGCACCAAGCAGACGACGCAAGCTTTCTACAAGCTGTCGGCCGCCAGGGTCCTGGGGCGACAGCCTCGCGGCCTCAGATGCCGTTCTGGCGTCAGCATCGTCTAACCGACCCCCATCCCATCCTCATCCCCTTCGAGACCCCCACCAAATTGCCACCCCAGTTGGGGATACACCCCTCGAAACCCGAAGGGAACGGCCTACATCCCCATCTAGGGGGGTAGATCGGCCAGTGGGGCCCAGCCCACGCTGGTGGGGATGGGGATCGGTTGAACGATACTCATGGCGAGAGCTCCGAGGGGGGATGCGGCCGTGGCGACGAGGGGCCCCGGGGTCGGGCGGAACGCTCAGGGGAGGGATTTATCCATAATCACCGCCTGGGGGTTCGATCTTCGCGGACCTCCACAGGCGGTGGATATGGATATATTCGGCCCCCCCCGGGGGCCAAAATATATCCATATCCACCGCCCGCTGGGGCACCAGGACGTCGGTCCCCAGGCGGTGGATATGGATGAGTCCCCGCCTCGCGTCCGGCCTTCGGAGACACGTCCTAAGACTCCGGATTCACAGGCGGCTTCTCGGAAGGCCCGGAGGGCCTCTGAGGAGCCCCGCCGCCGTCTAAGATGGCATGCTCCTTTTCGCTGCCCCCTTTCGGTGCGCCGCCGATGACGGGCCGAACTCGGGGCCGAAAAAGCGCTCTCCCTGGGAGGTCGAGGCTCGGGGATGTCTGTCGGATCCTGCAGGTGCCGCCGGCCGTGCAGCGCACGCTGGTCGGCCGGGGCCTCGTGACCATCTGGGGCAGTGCCAGGAGGGTCACCACTCGTGGGGGGTGCAGTTTTTGCAAATCAGGCGACGACGACGACTACGAAGACGACGACGACGAAAACGACGACGACGACGACGACGACGACGACGACGACGACGACGACGACGACGACGACGACGACGACGACGACGGCGGCGACGACGACGACGACGACGACGACGACGACGACGACGAGAGGCTCGCAGTTTTTCGGATGGTTTGGAGGGCCCTCGGCGGCCTGCCGGCCTCGGGACGTCTTCCAGCAGCTGCGCTGCGCCCCAGAGGCGTCCAGGGGGGCCCGCATCGTCCCGAGCGGCCGCCAGAGACCCGAGGCTACTCCTCCTCCCTCTCCTCCCTCTCCTCCTCCTCCTCCTCCTCCTCCTTCCCCTCCTCCCTCCTCCTCCTCCTCCTCCTCCTCCTCACCATCCTCACCATCCTCCTCCTACTCCTCCTCCTCCACCTCCTCCTATGACCGGGAAGCCGCGAGGCAACGCCGGGGGGGGGAGGCTCACGGTCCCCGAGCGTGAACATCCCGAGCCTCTCGCAGCCTTCCGCCCCGCCGAGCGGAGCGGCACGCTGTCCGCTCGTTTGGCACGGCGTGTCGCCGAGGCCGCCGCCGCGGCACGCTGCTTCAGCGGAAGTTCCCGACCGTTGGTCAGAGCCCCGAATCATCAGGGGTAACTCGGGTCAGGGCTAGCTCGGGTTCGTTTTTCGGGAATCCGAGCCCGAGTTACCCCGGACCCGAGTTACCCCGGATATCTCGGGCGTCCAGAGCCCGAATCTCAGGGGTAACTCGGGTCAGGGCTAGCTCGGGTTGGTTTTTCGGGATTCTGGACCCGAGTTACCCCGGGCCCGACTTACCCCGGATAAGTCGGGCGTCCAGAGCCCCGAATCGTCAGGGGTAACTCGGGTCAGGGCTAGTTCGGGTTGGTTTTTCGGGATTCCGGACCCGACTCACCCCGGACCCGACTTACCCCGGATAAGTCGGGCGTCCAGAGCCCCGAATCATCAGGGGTAACTCGGGTCAGGGCTAGCTCGGGTTGGTTTTTCGGGATTCCGGACCCGACTCACCCCGGACCCGAGTTACCCCGGATAAGTCGGGCGTCCAGAGCCCCGAATCATCAGGGCTAACTCGGGTAAGGGCTAGCTCGGGTTCGTTTTTCGGGGAATCCGAGCCGAGTTACCCCGGACCCGAGTGTACCCCCGGATATCTCGGGCCGTCAGAGCCCCGAATCATCAGGGGGTTAACTGGTCAGGGCTAACTCAGGTTCGTTTTTTCGGAATTCCGAACCCGAGTTACCCCGGGCCCGAACTACCACATTAAATTCGGGCGCCCAGCGCCCCGAATCATCAGGGGTAACTCGGTTCAGGGCTAACTCGGTTTCGTTTTTCGGGATTCCGAGCCCGAGTGTCCCCGGGCCCGAGATTACCCGGATAATTCGGGCGTCCAGAGCCCCGAATCTCAGGGGTAATCGGCGTTCAGGGCTAGCTCGGGTCGTTTTTCGGGAATCCGAGCCCGAGTCACCACGGACCGAGTTACCCCGGATATCTACGGCGTCCAGAGCCCCGAATCAGCAGGGGTCATCGGGTCTCAGGGTAACTGTGCAGGACGGCGGGCGAATCCGAGCCGAGTTACCCGGACCGAGTACCCCGGATATCTCGGGCGGCCAGAGCACCGAATCATCAGGGTAACTCGGGTCAGGGCTAGCTCGGGTTCGTTTTTTTTTTTCGGGTAATTCCGACCCGAGGTTACCCCGGAACCGAGTTTACCCCGGCATATCTCGGGCGTCCAGAGCCCCGACAATCATCAGGGGTAACTGGGCTCAGGGGCTAGTCGGGTTCCTTTTTCGGGAATCCGAGCCCGAGTTACCCCGGGCCCGAGTTTCTCCGGATATCTCGGGCGCCCAGAGCCCCGAATCATCAGGGGCAACTCGGGTCAAGGCGAACTCGGGCTTCTTTTTCGGGAATCCGAGCCCGGGTTGCCCCGGGCCCGAGTTACCCCGGATAATTCGGGCGCCCAGAGCCCCGAATCATCAGGGGTAACTCAGTCGGGCCAGGGCGAACTCGGGCTCCTTTTTCGGGAATCCGAACCCGAGTTACCCCGGGCCCGAGTTGCCCCGGATAACTCGGGCGCCCAGAGCCCCGAATCATCAGGGGCAACTCGGGTCAGGGCGATCTCGGGCTCCTTTTTCGGGAATCCGAGCCCGAGTTACCCCGGGCCCGAGTTGCCCCAGATAACTCGGGCGCCCAGAGCCCCGAATCGTCAGGGGTAACTCGGGTCAGGGCTCAACTCGGGTTCGTTTTTTCGGGAATCCGAGCCCGAGTTACCCCGGACCCGAGTTACCCCGGATACTCGGGCGCCCAGAGCCCCGAATCATCAGGGGTAACTCGGGTCAGGGCTAGCTCGGGTTCGTTTTTTCGGGAATCCGAACCCGAGTTACCCCGGACCCGAGTTACCCCGGATAACTCGGGCGTCCAGAGCCCCGAATCATCAGGGGTAACTCGGGTCAGGGCTAACTCGGGTTAGTTTTTCGGGAATCCGAGCCCGAGTTACCCCGGACCCGAGTTACCCCGGATAACTCGGGCGTCCAAGTTGGGGGGTGGAGGGCTCCCCCTCTGGAGTTGGAGTGTCCAGAAGGCGATCGGATGGACTACGCTGCAACTTTTGGGGACCTCGTCTGTCCTGTGTTTAGCGCCCCGTCTCTAGTGTCGGACGTATGTTCGACACGGATTCGACGCAGAGTCGACGTTCATCCGACACGAATTCGACGCAGAATAGGTCCCCCGAGGATGCAACATAAGATCGAGGATCGAGGAGTTCTGGATGTCTTCGGGCGTCCCTGGGAGTCCCAGGGGTGTGCTGGGGGGTCCCAGTCCGTCTCCTGGATGAGCAGAGGAAGCAACATCTGCATAAACACGAATTTTCGGAGGTCCGCGCAGGTCGTGGATCCGCGCTAGACCTCCTTCCTTGGCGCACGGCCATGGGGACCAGCGCCGATCAAACAAATCCGCGCCCACCTTCGAAAAGTGTTCATGGCGTGTCTTCTTCTTCTTCTTCTTGGGATATGGTGATGGCTCCCCCTCTTGGGTGGGATGCAACTTTTGGGAGATTATAGAATCAGCACTGGCGCACCGCTAGGAAAATTTTGACCCATTTCGTGGCTCTACCAAGACAATGCCGAACGAAGGCTCCAATGGAGGGCAGGGACCAACACGCCATTGCGCGCAAGAGCCTGTTAGCAGCAAGGCGCCCCCACTTCGATTTCGAACTCGAAAAGGTTGGAGTTGAGATTTGGAGGAGTTCATGGGCGGAATCGCCATGTCGACTCTGAACCGATAGGTTTCGACTTCTGCTTTAGAGGAAGTGTTGGGCAGACTCGCCATTTCGGCTTCGAATAGAGAAATTTTGACTTTGGTCGAACTCGTTTTCCCCATGAAGTCTCGCGAAGAAACGTTGTCTCGACTTCGGCATTTGAAATTTCAAAGTCGGCAGCCTGAAAACGTAGGAATTGTGGTTTTCGCTCGGGACGTCCCAGAATCAAAACTATTTTAACCTGGTGTCGAAACCCATCGGCCCGAAGTCGACATGGCGTTTCCGCCCAGCACTTCTTCAAAAACCGTGTTCGAGTGAAGTTAAGCCCCCTTGGTCCGAAATCCGAACTGTGTGGACATTCCTTCGCTACACGAAGCAAAGAGTCGCACCCTGGCAACATTGTACTAGGGCCCCGTCGCCTAACGGGTCCGTTTCACCATGCCCTCCGTTGACAAGGTATACTGGGGCCCCATCGTCGAACGGGAAGAGTTAAATTTCGGCCGAACTTTCGCAGCGGCGAAGTAGTCGGGTCCTAGTAGCCTTCGAAGAATCCCCTTGATTTCCTTCATAACCCCACTGGGTGATCATTATATCTATGAAATGTCTTATTTTTTGAACCTCTACATCCGATGGTGTGATGTTCAAGATGAGATCTCAGGCGAGTTACGGTCGCATTGCAAGCAGTGTCGTGCATTTGACACCGGAATTCGGCGGCTTCCAGTAGTGGCCGCTGAGACCAAAACAAACGCTCATGTCAGCCATGCGGGCCCTCTGGGATCTCACGCGATTTATAGTCAATAGTGCTGCGCGCTTGACAACCGCGCTCGTCGGCTGACAATTGGGGCCGCCGAGACCAAAACAAACGCTCATGTCAACAATGCGGGCCACTGGGATCTCAGGCGAGTTATGGTCAACTGTGCTGCCCACTTGGCAACCGCGCTCCTGGCCTGGGCTGACAGTAGGGGCCGCTGAGACCAAATCGAACTTTCCATTGAGCGCAAGAGCTCTTGAGGAGCAGTGCGCCCCCACTTCGATTTCGAATTTGCAAGGGACCGTGGGATTTGGAGGAGCTCATGGGCGGAATCTCCATTTCGACTTTGAACCGAAGGGGTTTCGATTTCGGCGCTGGAGGGAGTATTTGTCAGAATCGCCATTTCGACTACGAACTCAAAAACTTGGATTTCGGTCGAATCTGTTTTTGCTTGAAGTCTCAGGCGGAATCCTCGTTTCGACTCGTGTAACCAGCCTGACATTTCAGAGTTTAAGTTCGGCAGCCCGGAATGTCGAAAGTGTGTTTTCGCTCGGGGCGCCACCGGTCAAAAACCACTATGTCGACCTGATTTCGACCCGTCGGCCTGGAGTCGGCATGGCGATTCCGCCCAACCCATTTTTTTGACGGAAGGTGTTCGACTGAAGTCGAACTCCCCTGGTCCGAAATCTAAGCTGCGTGGAAGTGCCTGCGCTATACGAAGCAGAGAGACGCACCCTGGTAACATTGCACTGAGGCCCCGTCGTCTGATGGGCCCCTTTCAACATGTCCTCCGTTGAAAACATTATACCGGGGCCTCACCGCCAATCGGGAAATGTTGAATGTTGGTCTAATTTTCGCAGCGGCGAAGTAGTCGGGTCTGAAGTCGCCTTCGAAGAGTTCCCTTGATTTCCTCCATCGCCCCACTGTGTGACCAGTATGTTTGTGACTTGTATTCTTTTTCTGAACCCAGGCATGCGATGGTGCGATGTTCCAGATGCGCGGCCTGAGAGGTCCATTCCTGTTTGCCTGAAATCCATTCCTGAGCCTTCCTGGGGAGAAAGCGGGGCCCCTGCGGCCGGACTCCTGAACAGAGCGCCCAGGTGGAAAACGCCTCACCGTCGGAAATTTGGGGAATGAGGCGGCGACCCCCCCGCTGGAGTCTCGGGCATTGACGGAGAGCCCGCCCGCACAGGACGGCTGGGGCATTTTTTTCTAACCGGGGGTGTGCCCACTCCCGAGGGACGAGGTGGCGCGCCGCGGGGGTGGGGGGGGGAACCAGAAGGCGCTGGCCTTCTCAGAGGGCGGCGGGGCTCATTGGAAGCCTTCCGGCCTTCCGAGAAGCCGTCTCTGCCTTCGGAGAAGGCCCAGAAGATTTTTCAGAAGGTCCGAGTCCTGCCGGGCCTTCCCAGAAGACCCGCCCCCTCTGGGCGGCGACACCTCTCGACCCCTCTTCTGGATCGGCGGCGAAATCCGCAACCTGACCTCGCCGATCAATGATTCCAGTACGGTCGGACCGAGGTGTAAGATCGAGGTTGGCTCGGGGAGGGTACCCCAATGTTCTCCGTGCTTGTTGGATGTTCTTGTGCATCCTGGGGGAGGGTACCCTCGAATGTTCTTCGGTTTGGCAGGCGGAGGGTCCCATGTTCTTGGAGGATGTTCTTCTGTCCTAGGCCTGGCCGTAACTCGATGGGCGGCGGGGGTTAGGGTTCGAAGCTCGTCGAACACGTGTCGAAATCCGAACCTTAGCCCCGCCTCCCATCGGTCCAGGAGTTTCGAGGGTTGGCGGGGGCAGGTCTCGGATGTCGACACTTACTTGAGTGGCCCCGCCTCGCCGCCGTCGCCGCCGTCGTCGTCGCCGTCGTCGTCGTCGTCGTCGTCGTCGTCGTCGTCGTCGTCGTCGTCGTCATCGTCGTCGTCGTCATCGTCCTTGCCCTTGCCCTCGCCCTCGCGCTCGCCCTCGCCCTCGCCCTCGACGACGACTTCCCCCTCCGGCTTCCCCCTCTCTTGGGTGGCCGCCTCCTCTGGCCTGCTGCCCGGGCCGTGCAGCAGATCGCCTCCGCCGCCGCTGTGGCGCCGGACGCCGGCGGCCTGGCGCTGCTGTGGGACCTGTCGCCGTGCGCGGAGGTGCTGCTGCGGCGGCTGTGGCACGCCGCGGCCCAGGACGGCGGCCTCGCTCGCGGCCGCTCGGTGCCCTCTGGGCCCCTCGCCTTCCCCGTCCGTCCTCCTCCTCCTCCTCCGCAGTGGCGGTTCCAGCCGAGCTGGGGCCCAGTCCCCGAATTGGCCATGATCCTGGATCAATTTTCTGTGCCGCACCAGCTGCCAGCGCCGTGCGGAACACGTGATCAGTGCAGGTCGTGTCAAGGCAACGGCTCCCATAGGAAGCACCGGTGGGGTAGCTGGGCCGCTCCAATCGTCGAGGTGGAGAACGTCGGGCATCTTTAAGCCTCGAGCTGGGGCTGCGTAGTGATCGGGCGGCCAGGTGCCTTTGTTGCTGTGCAGCTTCCCATGGTAGCCGGACCAGCTGCATGATGTAGCTGGGAGTGGGTGCAGACCGTTCTCGATATAACTGACATGCCAATGCAGTCGGGGGGCCCTCATTTCGATGCTCGTTTCGGGGACCTCTCTGGGGTCCACCTAGTGGATCTGTTCGACTCCAGTTCGACTCAAGTTCGACTCAAGTTCGACTCGGGTTCGACTCAGGTGCGACTCAGGTTCGACTCAAGTTCGACTCAGGTTTGACTCGAGTCGACGGATGTGCGACGCAGCTTCGACGCACGAGAAGAGCGAGTGGCTCCAAGAAGGTCCCCAGAACGAGCATCTAACCCTCACCAGAAATTGCAATTGCACGAAGATGATGTTTGATATTAGCAGCTTCCCATTGCGTGGCCACTGTTGCGCCAGGCCGGTAACAAATCCAAGATACGTGCACGACTGCACAATCTCGAAAGCCATCCAATCTTCATCAGCCTCGACTACGGCTGCACGAAGCCTATGGATGATCGTTTCAGTTCGCGGACCGCGAAGAGGAATGGTACGGCACTTGCTGAGCTCCAGGGGCGGGGCAGCTAGTTTGGCCGTTGGCTTGGAGTCCGAGCCACTCCACGGAAGCCTCGACGTTTCCACACCACTGAACAGGTGCCATCTGCAGATAGAGGCCGGGTCAAACCACAAGGGTTGGTTCGTAAACAGGCGAGGCTACAGCGCACCGGGCAAAGCGTGCACGTGCGCATGGGAGAGCACATTTTGTGCCTACGAAGGGGGGAGAGGAAAAAGGGGGGTGGGTGGTTTTCACGCATGAATCCAATTTTCCACCAATGCATCTTCATCACGTTCCTGTAAAATTCCAGACCAATGTGATACAGTATGCAAGAAATCACGGGCGAACCCTTGAAGGCGGTCGTCCCATCTCGGCGGATGGCGTCCGCGCGACCGCGTGGTCCCGTGCGTGTAGTGTGGACTCCAAATTGTGGCTCCAGCTACGCTGGCCATCTGAACCGACGACGACAAAATAACTCACTCCATGTTTGAATCGGGAAGATTTGCATCGCATGGCCGACATTGTCCCTCATTCTTCTCATCGTATCTGCCCGCTCATCATCTTCACGACGTTTCCAACTAACAATCAAGCGAAGCATTTTGTTTTGAAGCACGTCCAATGATTAAATTTGCTGCTTTGTCACAGCCTCGGCTGATATTCCTGATAGCAACGTTGGTGTAATGACAGGCTGAACTAGCTTGAGCCGCAATCGCAAGGATACCTTTTGATCTGTATTCACGAGTTTTTGCGCTAAGCCCGCTGGGACCTCTGCCCCAACTGAACAGGTTTACGGTTCTTCAGACTCGCAACTATTGCCTTGCCCACGTAATTGAAACCATCCAAGCCCCCCATCATTTTCATCACTTGCCAGCCTGAACGGGCACATTCTCCATCCCATTCTCTGTTGTCCGTCCCTTCTGTCTTATCGGTGTTTTAAGTGTAGGCGTACGATGGATAACTCTTTTATCTGCGCCTCCAGCACGATGGACAACTTGTCGGCGGAGCTTGCGCACAACTTGATCTCATCTGCATGCCGCGTGTTTTCAAATTCTCTCACATGCACGGATACAGCCAAGAGAGACCCTGGACATCTGCAGGGAAGGCTTCTGTATCGAGCAGGAACGGGTTGGACGTGATGACGAAGGGAGAACCGCTTAGGGGGCACCCCTGGAGGACCCCGCTCATCATGAAGTAGAGGCATAATTAGAGCTTGCCCACCGAACCAGCAATTGCAAAGCATATGCAGACCCGCGACAGCACGAAGGAAAGCGGGAGGGAGCCGAAGCCGAGGACGACACATGAATAGCCACGCCTGCCTCACCGATACGAGCGCCTGAGCGATGTCGAACGACAGCAAGGGCGGCACACCATCCGCTCGGTCCCGTCATCATGCACTCGCATTTCGCGCCAGCAGATCGAGACCCACCATACTAGTTAGGACATCCCGATGCTGAGTGAACCCGTTTTGCGACACAGCACCCGTTTTCTGGACCACAGTCTGGAGTTTGCCGTTCAGGACCCTTGTCGCTATTTTATTGAACGGATCCTTCAGCCCTAGCAGACGAGCGTTTGCCGCATCCCGTGACACCGCTCTCTCTTCAATTTCCCGTTGTTGTTCCTTTGATGGCTTGGGAAGGAAGGCCGCTGTCAGGGACCCGCCTCGACAAAGATGGCGAAGAACTGCCAGCAAAGCCCATGGACTTCGTCCAGCTTCCCAGACGCGATGAGGGAGCCCATCAAGGCCAGATGCAGGCCATCCAGATGTCTTCAGGAATCTCGTAGCATCAGGAGCACGGGTATGGTCGGGGAAGGCGATGTCGTGCGAGAAGCGGGAGCAGTGCGTTTCGCCAATTTGGGGGGCTTCCGAGGCTGCGGAGAACACAGGGCCCCAATTCCCAGCCAGGTTAGGTGTCATCCCTGACGGGCTCCCATGACTAGTGAGCGTTGGGTTGCTAGAGCCTGTGACCTTCATGAGATACTTACGCTTGGCTAAAGGGTTCCAGAGTTGGCACTGCCGAGCCAGCGCTTTCTTTTGCCCGAGCAAGCGAGACCTACATCCAGGGGATGGTTCTGCAGAGACCTCGTCCTCCAATTGTTTTCTCTTTGTATGGGCTTGCCGTCTCTGGAGGTGGGTGAACAGGTCGTGGAACTTACTGGATAATCCGAAAGCCGATACTTTGGTCAGAAATTTCCGAGGACTGGCCAACCCCGGGGTACATTGCAAGTGATGCGCGGGTAAGCGGTACATCAGTCCTCCGCGCCGCCCTTGACATTTACCTGGCAATCTGAGCACGAAACGACAAGGAGGTAGGAAGGAGCAGTCGTGAGAGCAAGGTAACGCGTGGCAAGAGCAGCAGCTTGACGACACAGTGTGGCTTGGATAAGCAGACGAGGTGCCCCCCTTCGAGCATCGGAAGGCACGCATTCTCCTCATGCTCAACGAACATCTGAGAAACCAACGGGTCCTGAACAACTGCCCGCGGAAGCGGGCGGTCTCTGGATGCCACGGTTCCGTCTCTCAGGGCCCAGGACACCACCACAGGGACGTCATTTGGAAGAGGTTTTGCACATTCTTCTGGCTCCAAGAGAACACGCGCCTCTAGGAAGGTCTCAGACAGTGCCCAACGATGAGAAGATTCTGTCGATGCGACCCGCGCTCGTGGTGGGCTGGTGCCAGTCTTCCTGGAAAGCGCTGCTTATGGTTTCCCTGGCAATCCGCGGCTGCAGGCCGGTGGGAGTTTGGCATGTCGAGCGTTTCGGCGGCAGATCTCCAGTAAGGCGTTGTACAACCTGTCCCTTCCCGAGCCTTATCCTCCTGCGGTGCGTCGGGTTTTCTTCATGCTATGCCTGCTTCGGTGGGATCACAAGGCCTTCGCTGGCAGAGCGAAATCGTGCGCGAGCGTCGCTCCGGTATTCCCAACTGGGGCGGCACGTTTGCCACCGCTGAAGCTGCCGAGTTGATCTTCGGAGCCGAGGCCATACCTGACCCTGGCAAGTTTCGGAAGCAGCAGAAGTTATTATATCAATTGGTCTTGAGGGCCGTCTTCCCGAATACCGTTTGCCAGCTGATTACCAATCGTCTGCGTGTTCACGATGGGTTCCAGCCACATCGATTTGATTTAAATGAAATGACGAAGATGGCAGTGGACTTTCCGCAGTCATGGGCTGTGATTGTTTTCAAAAGTTGGCTTGGTGGATGGACAAGACACTGCCGCATGCAGCGGGTGACCATGTGTCTGTTTGGATGCCGCTCACGCGAAGATCAGGTGGGCCAATACACGAGCGACTGCTGGAGAGCAAGATTCTGGACACACGAGGCTCTTAAAACCTAAGGCTCTGCTGGAGTTGCTGAGAGGGTAGCTGTCTCTGGATCTGGCGCCGGATTTTGCGCTGCAACATATCATTCCCATCGGTTGATCCCCGTTGCAGTCGTCTCGTTTACCTTCGGCTACTTCGTGAGGGCCCAGCTGGTAGTCGCGATGCCGTGCGGTAGGGATTCAATTGAGCTGTCACATTTTCAGGATTCGCCCCCCAAGACCCCTAAGGATGGCGTGAACAACATCCATCTGTTGATCGCTAGCAAGTCCGGCAAGCCGGCGGCTGTCGTGCAGATTAAAGGGGCCTGCTTGAAGCTGCCCGCTTCGCTCTTCGGCTTCCTCTTCGGGAAGTTCAGCTGGGCGTGGGCAGATCTCGAAACAGGTCCTCAAGGCTGCCTTTCGATTGTATATGTGCTGAGCCAGGGGAGCGGGGAGGAGGGATCGGTGAGTTGCAGTCGCCTGTCCAGTCCTCCCTCCTTTCCTTCTTCGCCTCCTCGGTCTGGCCAGGCGGAGGTAATCCTGAATGCCGCCTCTGAGCGTGGCAGTCGTAGCAGCAGTAGCAGCAGCAGCAGCAGCAGCAGCAGCAGCAACAGCAGCAGCAGCAGCTCGCGTTCATTTTCGTCTTCGGATCGAAAAGCAGGTGAGGCTGGACACTTGAGGCCACCCCCCTCGACTGATGGGCCCCGACACGTGATGTATAGCAGTAGCAGGAGCCACTGTTCAGTAGCAAGCTGGTCAGCCACCTCCCCATGTTGCCGCCCTCTTCGCTTCATTTTTTCATCCAGGCTTGAGCACGTGCAGACGGCCTAGGGGAGAAGGACGGTACGTAATTGTGGTACTGTGGGACTCGCCTCAGTGTACGCTCCGCCTTCTCCTCCTCCTCCTCCTCCTCCTCCCTCTTCCTCCTGCTCCTCCCTCTCCTCCTGCTCCTCTTCCCTCCTCCTCCTCCCTCTCTCCTCCCTCTTCCTAGTCCTCCTCGTCCCGCCTCCTCCTCCTCCTCCTCCTCCTCCTCCTCCCCTGTCCTCCTCCCTCCTCCCTCCTATTCTTCCTCCGGTCGGCGCGGCGGTGGCCACACGCGGGACGACGGACCAGAGCTCTTGCGTGACGGGGCCCTGACCGTAGCCTCCGTGCGACGGCCAGAACCCTGGTGTAGTGGCCAGGATGTGGTTTGCCTTCTCTGCACGTGCCTTCCTGTCGGTGTCAGCTTCTCGACCCCAGGGCCGGGTTTGTTCCCGCCTCGCCCCCCGCCAGGCCGGCGACGCGGGGGGTGGACCAGAGTTTCCCAGCAACGACCAGGCAAACAGATCCTGAGTTCTGCTGCGCCAGCAACCGACGGCGAGGACCAGGGTGGGTCGGGCCGAGGAGAACTCGGCAGCACCCGCACTCCCTGATGCTTCAATCATCGAAGAAGAAGAGCAGCATAAGCAGATCTCTTGAATCTGCGCTTGGGCCCTGGCGCGCTCCGCGCGCCAAGGGGGCGGGGCGCCGCTCGGATCCAAGACATCCGCGCGGCCCGGCAACCGTTTTTTGCTGATGCTGTGATCAGAGGGCTTCTGGCTTCTCAGAAACGGTTTCCCCGCTGCAGCGTTGGCCACATTTCAGGCTCGAAACCTTTGCCACCGTCGTTCAGAATGGCGCGTCGCTCCCATCCCTCTGGTGGAGTCCCCTTGTGTTCTTCGTCATTTTGGGCTGTCCAGCCTGCAATTCACCACCCACCAAACCACCCCAACCCAATCCGAAGGCCTCAGTTTGCCCTCCATTTCCAGTGTGTGTGTGGGGGTCGGGGAACATTGAAGAAACACATGGAACCCGTACTCCAGATTTCGTAATAAAAGGGAGGGGGTCTGGACCCTCCAAGACAAGCCATTTCAGACCTCCCCCGTGGGAGAACCCTCCAAAACATCGTCCCCAGACCCCCCAGGCCCTCCAAGATAGCCTGGAAGAGACCCCCCCCCGAAATGAGACCCCCCTCCCTTTCTTACGAAATCTGGAGTACCCCCCCCAACCCTAAATTCGGGTCAAACTCGGGTCTTCGGCGTGGGGTTGGGGTGGTCTGGTAGGTAGCCAGCAGTGCTGTTCGTTGTGGGTCTCTCCACGGGGCCTCGGGCCTTCGGTGCAGGGGCCCCTGCTCTCGACCCACGTTCTGGTGGACATGCTGCGGGCGCGCACGCTGAGGATCTTCCCGGGGGGGGGCGAGGCCCCGTCTGGATCTGCATGCGGGGGAGTCTTCGACTGCGTGCTCCGAGTTTCTTTATACACGTGGGGGGTACTGGTCAATCTCGCCTCCTCGTCGCGCCGCGACGGGGGTCGGAGCGCCTTCGCCGCGCGATGGCTGCCCGCGACGGGGGTCGCTGTGGGGCTGTCGGCGGGGGTGACGCCCCTCCGACGCTTCTTGAGAAGCTCCGAGTATGCATCTCAGTGATCTGTCGCGGGTCAGTCGACGCCGCGAACAAAATATAAGGAGAGCAGGTGGAGGAACCCAGACCCTTCTCGCCTCCTTCCTCGCCTTCCTCCTTCCTCGCCTTCCTCCTTCCTCCTCGCCTTCCTCCTTCCTCCTCGCCCTCCTCCTTCCTCCTCGCCCTCCTCCTCCCCGTCGTCATGTTTTTGCTCATGACGTCGACCCCCAGAGGTCTCGACAGATTCCCCACGACCGGCTTTGCACCCCGAGTCGGGTTTTTGTGGTCCCCGAGGCCCCGGAGAGGGCCCACAGAGGCCGAGAAGGGGGAAGAACTTCCCGTCGTGATCCTTTTGCGATTCGAGGGGCTCTGGGAGGAGGGCAACCACTGCTCCACTGCTCCAGCCAGGCGAGGATCTGACCAGGCGCGCGCACGCGCACCTCCACCTCCACCTCCCCCTCCCCACCTCCACCTCCACCTCCACCTCCCCCCTCCACCTCCACCTCCCCCTCCCCCCCGCCACCTCCCCTCCGCGCGCGCACGCGCACCTCCCCCTCCACCTCCACCTCCCCCTCCCCTCCCTCCCCCTCCCCTCCACCCCCTCCCTTCACCCTCCCGCCCTCCGCCCTCTCCCTCCGCCACGATCGGTCTCTTCCTGCGCGGCCGAGGGTCCCGGCCGCCCACCCTCCCCTCCCGGCCCCCCCCCTCGGCCGCGCACGTGACGCTGGCCATTGGACGCACCTCTTGGACGCACCCCTCTTGGACGCTTCCGACTTCCCCCCTCCCCTCCCCCTCGCTCCCCTTCCAGTCACCCTACAGTCAAGGCGTCAAAACATTGGCCACTTCGGGTGAGGTGCTCAGATTTCCGGGCTGGGCTCTTCTCAAATCCAGGTCTGGAAGCTTCTCCGTGGCCGAGGCTCGCCGTGGCCAGAAAGGCCCAGTCGTTCCATTTTTGCGTTCCCCTTGGTAGTACGATGACTCTACCCATCCTCCCAGACCCCCTCCGTAGATGCTCGCTTGGGGGACCTGCCTGGGGCCCACCTGACGGATCAGTTCGACTCTGGCTCGAGTCTAGCTTCACCCTCGCTCGACGCAGGCTCGACTCGAGTTCGATTCGAATCGACGGACGTGAGACGCGGCATCGACGCGTGAGTGGAGCGAGTGGTTCCAGGAAGGCCCCCGGAGCGAGCGCCCGGTCCTCCCCCCCTCCACCCCGCCATCTGCGCGAAGACGCCTCGCCAGGATCGGCGGCGCGCCCGAGGGTGCAGTGAGAGGAGGCAGGCCTTCTCAAGTTGGCGGGACTTCTCAGAAGCCCTCGTGCCTTCCGATACGATGGGGGTATTCGTTAAGGAATGGGCTCAGGAGGCTTCAGACCCTCGGGGATTCCTTATCTGATGAGGGTGTCGGTGATATCCATGGCCAGTCCACGATTGGTTTTCCACTGGCTTCCAGACCCTGGATTCCTTATCGAAGGTTTCCTCATCCAATGCCATCACCGTCAGGTTGCTGCGTCTCCGAGGGAGGCTCACCCAGAGACTTCTCAGAAGGCCAGAGAGGCCCTCCGCTTCTCTGGAGAGGCCCGCCCCCTCCGAGTCCCCCCCCCCGCGCGCGCGTCGCCGGCAGGAGCGTGACGCGGACGTTCGCGCACAGACGAACGGAACGCCCACGCTGAAGCGGCCCTCGGTGCCGGACGGCGTCGGCGTCGGCGGGGGAGGAGGAGCAGCAGCTGCCGGGATGGCGACCGATGAGGGCGGCGAGCCGGCCGACGTGCTGGACGTCCACCGCGCTGGGAAGCGCTTGCGGGTTCCAGGGATGGAGGACGACACATGGCGAGGAGCAAACAACGGCATAAACATATACCTTCGAAGCTTCGCGTGGATCTCTTGGATCGGCGCTGGGCCTCCCTGGCGGCGCCTCCAGCGCCGCCCCTGGCACGCTCCGCACGCCAAGGAGGGGGACCCAGCGCGGGTCCAAGAAATCCGCGCGGACCGTCGAAAGTTCATGTTTCTGCCGCTTTTGGTTCCTCTGACAGAGTCGCCTGTTTGCCAAGACACAGACAGCGATGTAGAGACAGCGTAGACAACACGTCGCTGGCCCGCGAACAGTTTTCTTTTGATCTCTCTTTCTCTCTCTGTCTCCCTCTCTATCCCTCTTCCTCCCTCTCTCTACACCAAGATCGCTGCCAACGTATTCATCCGATCCCGTTTTCTGATCACCATGTCGTGCAATTTCGGGGTGGCTTGGTCCGTCTGCTTCCCCCCACTCCTTACCCCCCCCCCTTTCTCGTGCCCTCTCTCCTCTGTCTGGCCCCCTGCCCTGGCCTGGCGGGATGCTGGCTGGCCCCGCTCATTGTCTCTCGGGTCTCCGCATGGCTCGCCCCTCGTGCTCAGGCCTCGAGTGCCTCGAGAGCGCATCGAAGCGTCGTCGTCCGTCCGAGTGCCTCGAGCGCATCGAGAGCGTATCGAGTGCCTCGAGAGCGTATCGAAGCATACGTCGCAGCACTTGTTGTCCTCCAGGGGCCACGTTTCGGGATCCCTTGGCGCCGTCAACCAGAGGTCTGGGATGAAACAACTGTCCCCAGGTAGGGGTCGAGAGGTCCAGGGACCGCGCTTCGAGTCGAGGGAGGAGAACCACTCCGACCCCCATGATTGGCGTTCACTAACTGGCCATGGGCGTCTACTAAACAGCCCTGCCTGTTCGATATCTCCTTGGGTGCTTTTACTAAACGGCTTCGCTTGTCGAGGTGCTCATTCTGAGGGTGGTTCTTCTCCCTTCTATTGAACAGAGACACGTCATCGGAGGCACGGGCCCCTGATCAGCCCCAGCTAGCCCCCGAACTCCTGATCGTACACTGCGTTTCCTATGGCGTCGTGTGGTGTCCTACTGTTTCTTGCTGTCCACTGTTTTGGGCCCAGGCGATGTAGGACTTCCCAGACCGTGTTTTTGCACTGCCAGGCCACCAGATCCTGAAGAACTGGCCTTGCCTTTCGGGTTTCCCAGCTGCCGAAAGGATAGGACGTTCCAGGAAGGGCCTCGCCTGCGACGCGTCTCGCCCTCGACGGAAGCCGGCGGAAGTAGAGCAGCGGCGGCTCCGCCGGCGGAAGGTCGGAGGAAGGCGGCGGAAGCAAAGACGAGACGCCAACCTTTTTGGGGGCTCACGGTTTCCAGGGCGGGTCCACATAGGGTCTCGACCTCAGCCGTCCCTGCTTCCTGGCTCTCCGGGCTTTGCCCGTGCATGGCCCCCCGCTCACCGTGCGTCGGAGGCATCGGGGCTGACACCAGCACCACTATATCGTTGGTGTGCCTCCGCCGAGGGAAAATGTGCCTGATCTCGGTGATGGTGTGATGGTGGTGGTATTCGGGCTGCCCAGGTGGCCGAAAGATCACCACCAGCACCAACAGGTAGGATCATCTCCCCCTGTGTGAACGCACCCCCCTGCTCTGGTGTTTGTGCCCGTCCATCTCCAGGCCTCCAGGTTTGCCCCAGCTCCGGGCGCCGCGGGCGGGCGGGCCCGGCCGCACGGTCCCGTCCTCGGCTGCCCCTGCTGGCCCTGCTGCACCGGGTGCAGTCACGACGCCACGGACGGCTTGTATGCACTGCCACGCGCTGGCGTCTCCCAAGGCGTCGTCGCTCCTCGACCCAGGCATACTGCGGTGCATAGCTTTTCGGCCCTGAAAGACAAAACAACTATGATGCACCGTACGGCGGGTGCATGCGCGCCGTTTTCGCGAAGACGCCGCAGACTGAGGATTGCCTTGGGCTTGGGAGGGGCCCTGGTCTTGGGGCCACTCCTCAGGCAAATGGTGGAGAGACATGGCGAAGGAGTTTCAATGCTATCGGTGAGTTTACTACGAGCGCTCCGCCCATCCCCCGAGGGACGCGCTCCGGCGCGATGGTGGCGGTTCGTTCGTTCATTGTTTTCATCTGGCGTTAGTTCCAAGATTTCCGCCCTCCGGGCCGTGTTTCGGGCCCCAGGAGAATCAAACACGGATCGGGTCGAGACTTCTGGTGCTGCGCATCGATTAATTCGCATCGTCGGATATCCGGGATCCAGGTCGGAAAAAGGCCTCTTGGCAGAAGCTCGCCGTGGCCAGAAAGGCTCCGCCGTTCATTCTTCAGCGTTCCTCGTGGCAGCACGATGGCTGTAGCGGGCTGGCCTGGTCCGTATGGTCATATGTTGCCGCGCGGTGTGCCTAAAAGCGCAGGGAGTGTGCCTTCGGAGGACAGGGGCTGCAGGCCGCCCTTCTGGTCGGAGCCGACCCGCGCAGCGTTGTACGGCTGCAGGGCATCGATCGGGACACTGATCGATGGCTGGCTGCCTGCCTCCCGGGTGAGTCCTCCCGCAGCCCGCGCCGCCTCCCATCCAGGGCAGGCGCCTCAATGCTGACAGGCAGGTGTCCGCAGCGCCTCCAGGGCGAGCTCGCGCGAGGCTCTTGGCTTCCCTGCGAAATCCGAGCCCTACCCTCGCCGATCAACGATGCAGGCAACTCGATGAGCGGCGGTGGTAGGGTTCCGAACTCGTCGAACACGTGGCGAAATTTGAAGCCTACCCCCGCCTCCCATCGAATCGAGAGAACCGATGATGCGGGGGGGATAGGGTTTGGATGTCGCCACCTGCGCCCCGCCCCGCCCCCGAGACCTCCAAAACTTTTGAGAAATTCACCGCGGGCGGAACTTGCTTTGCCCTTCTTGGCCTCCGGGGGCCTTCGCCGGGCCTTTGGGCTGTCAGAGCACGGCTAAGGATGAAGAGCGCTCCCAGGGATCCAGCGCAGGCTCCCGAGCCGCGCCCTGGCGTGCGCCTGCGAGGGGCTGCCAGAAACGCCCCAGAGCCAGTGCCTCCAAAGCGATGAACTCGAAAGCCTCGGCAGCTTCGACGTCGCCCTCGACGACGACGGCGGCGACGACGACGACGGCGACGACGACCTCCGTCCCCATTCCGCTGTGGCGGCCGCGGCTCTGGTGCTCCACGCGGAGGTCGGCAGCCGCTCGGGCCGAGGTGGCGGAGTCGGCCCCACTTGCCCCAGGAGCGCAGGCCGCAGGCTGCGGGCGCGCAACGCCATGGCGCCTGCCCGGGGCGCCCTGCACGACGTCCGCCTCGCCGCCTGCATCCACGCCATCGGCCGCGCCAGCCAGGAGGCCGCCGAGCGCTCTTACGACTGGGCCGCGCTGCACGCCGGCGGACCTGCGGCGGGGCCCGAGGTCGGCTACGTGCGAGAGTTACTTTTTTTTCGCCGGGGTGACCTTCATGGTGCGTGCGTACGGGTACACTGAGGTCCAAAGATGGCTGAACGCGGTGCGATGGCAGTGTCTTGCGCGCTCGTGTTGGGCCTCCCCGCGGCCCCCGAAAGTCGCGCACCAAACGTCACTCTTGCCAAGGGGTCACTCTTGTGTCATGAAGCATGATACAAGCCCTTGCCCTAAAAACACAACGAACTCGTGGTCTGATCTAGGTCTGTTTTTTGAGGGATATCCCTGAACATATGGGTGGCTTCGTCTGATACGCCTGCAGGACAGACCCCCTATCCCTCATGTTTCTGGCCCTCCTAACGTAGACCCCGTCCCAAAAAGGGTTCTGGGGTACTTCTGTTGCCTATCATTGTGTGCAGCCGACAAGGGATCGGCCCGCGCGGCGCCCTTCGTGGGGCCCGTGGCCGCGCGCGCCCTGCCGGGCCGGGGCGTGGGGCTGGTGGCGACGAGGGCGCTGTGCGCGGGCGAGCTGCTGCTCGTGGAGGGCGCCTTCGCGCTGCGCCGCGAGGCCGGGCCAGCGCTGCTGGACGCCTGCGAGGCTCGCCATGGGGGCAACGGGTCCTGAGGAAAATGGGTTCTGAGGTGTTTCCCCGTTTGCGGGCTCCCGGGCGGGGCCCTCCACGGGCCCCGGGAGTTTCAGAAAACGATTCAGGATGAAGGTCTCGTGCTGGGGGCAGGCCCCCAGGGTCCAGGACCCGCTTCCCCCATGCCAAGAGGCGAGGCTGCGCGAGCCGCGGCGCCCGAGCGCAGAGGCCGAGCTGCTCGCGGAGCCCCGCCCCGCCCCGCCCCGCCCCGTCCGCGGGCGGGTCGTCGTCGTCGTCGTCGTCGTCGTCGTCGTCGTCGTCGTCGTCGTCGTCGTCGTCGTCGTCGTCGTCGTGGTCGTCGTGGTCGTGGTCATGGTCGTGGTCGTCGTCGTCGTGGTCGTGGTCGTGGTCGTTGTCGTCATCGTCGGTGGGGATCGGAGGAGGAACAAATACCGCGAGGAGAAGCGGTCTCGGTTTTTCTCGGGAGTCCCCAAGTGGTGCGGTGACAGACCAGCGGCGAGTCCGGGGGTGAAGTGAGAAGGAGAAGGCCCGCTCAGAAGGCTTGGAAGTCCCACAGCATTCTGAAGTTGTCTGAGCCTTCGCCGAAGACACAAACAATTTTTCGGAAGGCCAGATGGCTTCTGAGAAGCCCCGCCGCCTTCTGAGAAGGCCTTCTTCTTCTCACCCCCCCCCCTCGCTCGCCGCCGATTTCTGGGAGTCCCCGAACGGTGCGGTGACAGACCGTGCGGTGACTTCGAAGCCCCAAGAGACCTCTCCACACGGTGCGCCATCGCTCGGCTTCGGGGCCCGCGAGGCTTCTGGCTGCCTGAGATCTCCTCGCAGGACGCACCGCCTGGGGACCTGTTGCATACTGCACGTGCATGTCCTAGTCCTGCCGATGTTTTCTCGCTGGAGGTCATATCTTTTACGAAGGATTGCAAAACACCTTCGTAGGATTGCAAAAAACCTTCGTAGGGTTTTTTTTTTGCAATCCTTTTTTTGCAATCCTTCGCTGGGTTTTTTTTTGCAATCCTTCGTTTTTTTGCAATCCTTGTTTCCAGGCGTCGGCCTCTGCGTCGACCGGCGGGCAGGTTATCTGAGGCGCTGGCCAGGCGCTTCGCCCCTCGGAGTCCTGCGCACCGTCGGCCCTCGGCCCCACCGTTGGGGTGACGGCAGGCCTGGCGCGCAGCCTCACCGTGTGAACTATCTTCGCAACTCAGTACTGTGTTTTTTTTTTTTTTTGCAATCCTTCGTGTTTTTGCAATCCTTTTTTTGCAATCCTTCGTTTTTTTTGCAATCCCATGTGAGCTATCTTCGCGACTCAGTACTGTT